TCTTCTTGTTATCTTCTGCATGTGTGTCTTCTCCTGTGCCCCTATGCGTGTGACTTCCGTTCTACATGAGCCATATGTTCCCGTGTTTCTTCTTATCCTCTGCATGTGTCTTCTCCTGTGCCCCTGTGCGTGTGACTTCCGTTCTACATGAGCCATATGTTCCCGTGTTTCTTCTTATCCTCTGCATGTGTCTTCTCCTGTGCCCCTGTGCGTGTGACTTCCGTTCTACATGTGCCATATGTTCCCGTGTTTCTTCTTGTTATCTTCTGCATGTGTGTCTTCTCCTGTGCCCCTATGCGTGTGACTTCCGTTCTACATGAGCCATATGTTCCCGTGTTTCTTCTTATCCTCTGCATGTGTCTTCTCCTGTGCCCCTGTGCGTGTGACTTCCGTTCTACATGAGCCATATGTTCCCGTGTTTCTTCTTATCCTCTGCATTTGTCTTCTCCTGTGCCCCTGTGCGTGTGACTTCCGTTCTACATGAACCATATAATCCCGTGTTTCTGCTTGTTATCTTCTGCATGTGTGTCTTCTCCTGTGCCCCTGTCCGTGTGACTTCCGTTCTACATGAGCCATATGTTCCCGTGTTTCTTCTTATCCTCTGCATGTGTCTTCTCCTGTGCCCCTGTGCGTGTGACTTACGTTCGACATGAACCATATAATCCCGTGTTTCTGCTTGTTATCTTCTGCATGTGTGTCTTCTCCTGTGCCCCTATGCGTGTGACGTCCGTTCTACATGAACCATATAATCCCGTGTTTCTGCTTGTTATCTTCTGCATGTGTGTCTTCTCCTGTGCCCCTGTGCGTGTGACTTCCGTTCTACATGAGCCATATGTCCCCGTGTTTCTGCTTGTTATCGTCTGCATGTGTGTCTTCTCCTGTGCCCCTGTACGTGTGGACCGCCTCCGTGGTCTTGTGGTAGAGCGTCCGCCCGGAGAGCGGAAGGTCCAGGGTTCGATCCCGGGCCGCGTCATACAAAAAGACGTTAAAAGATTGTACTTGTTGTTACCCTGTCTGGCGCTCGGCATTAAGGGGCTAAAACAAGGACTGGTCGGCTCGGAGTCAGTATACTGTGTCTGAGTGGGGTATTCATGTTAAACTGCGGCATGGTATCTCAGTGAGCTAGCACTATAAATCCGGACTAGTACAAGCAGCCACACACACACACACACATACACGTGCATGCACGTCGCTATATAAGTGCAATAATCTTGGACGCGACGTTAAACCCAATTTCACCTCACCTCACCCTGTACGTGTGACTTACGTTCCACATGTAACATATGTTCCCGCGTTTTCTTCATGGTCTCCTGTGCCCCTGTGGGTGTTATTTCCTTTCGATTTGTGCCATATGTTCCCGTGATTCTTCCATTTCTTCTTCTGTACCCCCGCGCGTGTGACTTACGTCCCATGACATGTTTATGATATAGTTGGATGCAATCGAACAATGGACTCTACTTTTAGCAAAGATTTCTGGTTACTATCGATATATTCTTCAGGCCTTTATAGACATTCTCTTCCACTGTTCCGCGGTTTTGGCAATACATAATTAACATGCACCGCGTTGAATGTATTTTCATTAATTTAACAAATATTCCAGGTATATATAATGCAATAAATATATAACTTAATGCAGTAGTTATGGTAACAACTCAAATACTTTACAAATTGGACAGAAAACCGTCAAAACTACCTAATATACATATTCATAGATAAATTCACATACAAAGAAATTAGATGTTTTACATAATTTATTATTTATTTATGACTAAATTGTGATTTCTTGTCTTCCTTCCATGCCTTATTTAGAAATACACAAAAACTATATATGAACCAAGAAATACCAGTAAATGTAGAACGTCCACGCCAACGAATAAGTCTGGACTATCCGACGAAACAGATTCCATATGGCGTGAAAGGCAAACTAGCGGTACAAATAAAAGGTTGACATAGGCAATGTTTGAACAAGGTAACGGTAAATCAACCCCATAACCGGTCATGACAACCTGATCCAATATATTTGCCTTATTTGCCCACACGTTCTTACAACCCCGTTTATTCTATTTTATTGGACGTTCTTTCACATTTTGTCTTATGAAAAAAAAATGGATTTATTGCCATGTATATTAAAAGAAGTGCTCGGATAGACACACACTTGCATTTTCCTAAAGCTTTCGTATGACACAAAAATAGCTTTCTGTGACTTTATAGAAGCACGTCATGAAATAGACAACACATGTGAACAGAATATATAAATATTTGCCCCTTAACGAAACAAAGAAACATTGTTCATATGCGTGAATCGGAGCATGTCACCCTCTTCATTCGAACAGCCCTGTTTAATATGGCAAACATTATATACCACCGCACTGGAGCGTTCTTTGAATTTGTATAACTGTCCGCATTGTATGCTTAATGTGGCCCTGAAGTAAATAAAGTATTGATCGATATCCTGTATTGCTTTTATAAGTGGAATTATTTCGGCTGAGAAATTCGAGGATCAGTGAATGCCTTTATTGCTCCGAACAATGGCTGGTTGGTTTTGTCTGTAGGCAGCTCTCGTGTATTGTTAGGTTTAATGTTTGAGCTCATCTTATGTGATCCCGTACGTGACATACATGTATCTGAAGTATTGCTAGGAGCTTTTCACTTTAAGTGACATGATAGCAAAGTGTTTGTCAAGTTGCATGATTGATAGTCAAGCTGCATGCATGAGTGAACTTACTGAATCTAAATATCAAAATGTGCTTGATTTCAAACTTGGTAAACTTTTTGTAATTGTAAGACGTGATAGAAACCGATTTGTTCATTTTCAGGGTGAGAGTGGATTTGGGGTGGCGGTTGATAAAGACATTATATATTTTCTATCACTGCTTCAAGACAACATATTTCTTTTCACGACTTCCAACATGTTCAGTGACCATTTCTTTTTGTAAAAGCCGAGGACAAATTAATTTTTCCTATTATTTCTGGTTCATATTTTAAATCTACCCACCAGATCACTCACCCACCCAGAGATGGCACAGTCGGTCCGTGGGTGCGTGACCATGGATTGTATGCTATGCAAATTATTAATCATGGCAAATACAGACTGGGCACAATGAGTAGACATCAACGTTTGGTGTCATGCCTTGCTTCAAAAGCTTCATGGCTTTCACCCGAAATGTTCGTGAACAATATACAAATTGAAATAATTATTAATTACTGATCTTTTTGTTTATTTGTGGTTTAACGCCGCACTCAACAATATTCCAGCTTCTAACGGGATTGGGTGGTCAGGCTCGCTGACTTGGTTTATGCATGTCATCGAATCCCAATTGCGCTGATCGATGCTCATGATGTCAATCACTGGATTGCCTGGTCCAGACTCGATTATCTACAGACCGACGTCATATAGCTGGAATATTGCTGACTGCGGCGTTAATTACAAGCAAAAAAACCAAAACATTCCAGCTGTAAGACGGTGGTCTGTTAATAATCTTGGTCAGACAGTCCAGTGGTTGATATTGTGAGCAAACGATGCACGCCGTCGGGTACGATAACACGCTATAAACCGAGCCTGACCACCCGATCCGTTTGGTTGCCTCTTACCACCAACGTAGGTCTGGGGGACCATCTCTAACCCGGACTATCGTCGGGGAACCACCAGTGTTTAGGGACACGAGTTGTGTTCCTTGTAACATGCAGTTTATCCGACTTCGCTCTACCCAGGGGGTACTAAGAAAGTGTTGAAATATGTTTCAGTACCATTATCTAATACGTTTCCGCAAACTACAATGGTTACACAGTTTCATGAAACATTATATTCACTGGTTGTGCGTTCGAATCCCAGAATTGACCCACTTTTCATTAATGGTTTGTCAGCACCATATGCGTGCGTTCGAGTTTCACTAAAGTGGGGAAAAGTCTATTCTAACTGCGTCACTTGAGCTTTGATAGAGGCACGGGTGGATCAGTTGGATAGAGGTTCCGTGGATCAGTTGGATGGAGGCACAGGTAGATAAGTTGGATAGAGGCACGGTGGATCAGTTGGATAGAGGCAGAGTGGATAGGTTGGATAGAGGCACGGTAGATCAGTTGGATAGAGGTTCCTTGGATCAGTTGGATGGAGGCACAGGTGGATCAGTTGGATAGAGCACGGTGGATCAGTTGGATAGAGGGAGAGGGGATCAGCTGGATAGAGCACGGTAGATCAGTTGGATAGAGGTTCCGTGGATCAGTTGGATGGAGGCACGGGTGGATCAGTTGGATAGAGGCACGGGTGGATAAGTTGGATAGAGGCACGGGTAGATAAGTTGGATAGAGGCACGGGTGGATCAGTTGGATAGAGGCACGGGTGGGTCAGGCGTCTATAATGTTGCGCAATTCGCACTGCAGAATTGCGTCCCTTACGCGTGCCAGAATCCTATAATCTTTCATTTGTTCTCATTATTGTTCTAGGTTGATCTGCATCATGCCCATGCTCGTGTTTTTCACCAAAGTGGTAAACGTGAGTGAGTTGGATTTAACGCCGCTTTTCGCAGTATTCCAGTTACATCACGGCGGGTCAGCTTAATGTGAGAGGTAAGACCGAAGTGATGCAGGTCATAGACGTACACCACTTCGGTGAAACTCAGAAGCACAGGTATGGTGCTGACAAACCTAGAAACATAATTGGGGCGAACCGTGATTCGAACCCACAATCATAGGTTTCTGGCGTGCCCAATTGACGCAACTCTGCACAGCGAATCGCGGCGTCTTAGCCGACTGGTCCACCCGTGCCCCCAGTAAACGTCCAAGACCTGCAGGATTCGGTCTTACCTTCGACACATCAGGCTGGCCTACAGTGATAAAACTGAAATACGCGTAACACCAAACATAACCAGCAAGAGACCGGCATGGCTGAAATTGTTCCCAAACGCCGTTTAACTCTTTCCTCTCACCAATGCGGAAAATGGTTCCAGATTGTCTCTAAGCTGGGAGAAAAGCTTCAATATTAACTAAAATGAATTACATTTATTTTTTACTTTATTATGTCATTTGGTAAATGACATTTTTCTCTGGACAACCAGTGGTTGATATTAGCATAGTTTTTCTTAACTAAAGGTTTGTGTAGCTTTTCACACAGACCACACCATGGTAATGGAAAATATACCCGTTGTTTATCTTTTTCTCTCAATAGTTCTATGTAGGCTTTATCATTGGTTAAAAGAAAGTTCAAATAATAACCTAGCTCTCTTATGGTTGCAAAGTCTTTTGAGTCTATGATGTAACCACCTCCATAAAGGCTCTTGTAATTTGGGCCACCACGTACCACTGGAATCACATCATGCAGAAATGTTTTGAAGAATTTCTCGGTGACATAATTCTCACAAAAGGAATTTTCAAAAGCAAGAAAGAATTTATAGGATTTTAACTTTTCATAGCAATCTCTGCCGCATTTGCTATCACCACACCTCCCGAACACATCTATATCGACATACTTCTGTAATTCATTGACGTATTTCTCTCTTTGGCTATGTGAAACGCAACGACTTACGAACCATGCGACACTGTTCGTTTTTTCTTTCACTAACTTTTCATAATGTTTCCCTTTCAAACCGGATCGCCGTTTTCGTACCATTCCATAAGGCCTCCATATATCCGAATCTGGGCGATAGCTGATTGTCCAGTTAAAAGCGTCTTTCCAGTTTTGGGGTATTGTTAAATATGTCGGTGGTTCAAAGGAAAATAGAGCAAATATTTGATTGGCTGATCTAGGTGGTGGCGCACCCTGGTGTAGATTAAATCCATCAACAAGCACCACATCTGCTTTAGCGAGATCTTGACGATCGTACGATACTGTACACATTTTGTATTTACAACCTCCAAACAGTTCTGAACCTTTTTGTCTTGGAATCCATGCTGGTGCATTGAACCACACAATTTCTTTCACTGCCTTACGTTTGCTTGTAGTGTGTAGCAATTCTGTAACACTTCTTGACACGTCCTTGACACTTCTGACTACGTTCTTGACACTTCTGCCCACGTCCTTGACACTTCTGCCCACGTCCTTCACCTTCAAAGAAGTCCTCTTGGAAACAGGTGATGTACCCACACTCTTTACTTGCGTGATAACGTCATCAAATTTTCCCTTCAAATTTCGCTCGACCCACTGTTTTCTAAATACCATTCCTTCATGAAGCGAATTCTGATTAATTTCAGAGAATTCATTTGGAGCAATTTGATTTGCTGAACCATTACTCTGAATTTGTTCTAGTCTGGATATTTCACGAAAGCTGAGGACGAATGTTGCCACAGCGAACATTGTGGTCATGTAGACGTGGTACTTTCGAAATTTCCTGGATGCCAGTCCAAAAAACTGAAACATTAATGCATACTTATATATTAAAAGCGACATAATCATAATTATGATATAAAACATTAACGACAGAGACTATACTACTCCGTCTCATTTATCTACCGAAACAGATTCTATTGAGCGTAAATGCAAAATAGCGGTGAAAATGACATGAATGGATCACTGGTCATCTGTGATGACACCAGGGCCCACTTGCACAAAGCGATCTTAGCGCTAAGACTATTGTAAGCCTATGTTAAAGTATGGGAGTTACGATCATCTTAGTGCTAAGATCGCTTTGTGCAAGTGGGTCCAGGTGTTCGCGAAAATGGTAGGCGTGTTCTGTCCAACGTCATGTCCTGGTTAATCGTACTTGGGGTTTGATTTAACACTTGACGTTGTCCACACTACAGGGTGAATAGGTGTGGGAACCCCACGCTAATAGTGTTGCAATGATGACACAAGTGTTGTTTGTTGTTTAACGCCGCATTCAGCAATATTCCAGCTATATGACGGCGGTCTGTAAATAATCGAGTCTGAATCAGACAATCCAGTGACTGACATCATGAGCATCGATCTACGCAACTTGGATACCATCAACCAAGTCAGCGAGCCTGACCACCCGATCCCGTTAGTCGCCTGTTACGACAAGCATGGGTTAATGAAGACTTATTCTAACATGTGACCTACATGTGAAATATGATGTGACAATTCGTCGGACACAAAACGTCCACGCTCGTATATTTCGCAAATTATTTCGAGTGTAAGTGCATTGAAACGCGCAATTTTGTTGCTCTTGTAAGCATTATCGAAACTATTTACAGCAAACTACGGTTATAACGAACACAAAGGGACCACTAATTTTAGTTCGTAATAACCGTAGTTCGTTATAAGCATATACACAGAATATATACAACAAATTGCCGGGACTAAAAAATAAGTTCGTTATATCGGTCAGTTCGTTATAAGCGTGTTCGTTATAAACATAATTACTGTAAGTCTGTGGTTAATTGAGATGTGTACTGAATATTGACTATAACATATAAGTTATTATCATGATATTATTTTTCTGTGGTAATCTTAATAATTGTGTTCACTTTAAACTTCGTGCCTTGAATCGAAGCGAATAGCTGCAAAAATTGTTGAAGCGACGTTAAGCAATAATCACTCACTCATACCAAGAAATATGATAACGGATACGAAAATGAGTGAGTATGGTTTTACCTCAAATATTACATGTAGCAATATTTCAGCTATAAGGTAAAACTAGAAATATACTACAATGCATATATGTATGAACACTTAAGTTGTTGTAAATATTGTAACAAATTAATATTCAGTTTAGAGGTGAGTTGGAATTGGGTTTAAAGTCGCGTCCAAGATAATTGCACTTATAAAGCGACGTGCACTTCACGCGTGCGTGCGTGCGTGCGTGCGTCCGGACTGATGCCGATTTATAGTGCTAGCCCACTGAGATACCATGCTACAGTTTAATATGAATACCCCACTCAGACACAGCATACGGACTCCGAGCCTACCAGTTTTTGTTTTAGACCCTTAATGCTGAGCGCCGGCCAGGGTAACAACAAGTACCATCTCTTAACGTCTTTTGGTATGACGGGGCCGGGAATCGAACCCCAACCTTCCGCTCTCCAAGCAGACGCTCTACCACTAGACCACGGACACTGCCCTCAGTTTAGAAGATACCTTTATTTGAGAGAATTATATGTATAGAGAAGTGACAATTATTTATCAATTTTACACTCAGGAAATACCAGTATCAGCTGTTAATAGTGACTTTACGGGTTGTGTTGTCCAACTCGATGCGTTTCATCGTACTCCAATGGCCATATTGCTCATAATGTCAACCCCTAGTTTATCTGCCAAGGTTAACTGCCGACATATGTCATCGTGTGCATTGCACGTCAGATATATCTGATTCAATATATTTGGTTATTGAATAATATTGATATCCGTTTTTTATGGATATTTCTTTTTATCTTTCCATGACACACAAATCTGACTCTCATACTAAGCCAAGTGTTTATCTAAACATATCTGACATATCTGAGTATCCCTATCAAAATTTAGTAATATATTTAAACTCCTCAGATGTTATGAACATAATGCATTAGCGTGGAAATTTAAACACCTGGATTCGATCCCAACCATAAGCAAAATGTGTGAAACATGAATGATATTCCTCAAATATTGCTAAACTTGTAAATCGCACTCACTCAATAATAGAAATTTCAAAAAGTGTACTATTTCAATAAATTCATCATTGTGTTAACACTAGTCAGTCATCAGAAAGGATTCGGTGTGTACCAAACTGTTTACAAGACGCAGCCCCCGTTAAGATGTGGGTTAGACTTGGTCTTCAGCAATCCATGCTTATCTTTAGGAGCGAATAACGGTATCAGGTGGTCAGACACGCTGAATTCATACGCATGTCATCGTATCCCATTTCGTAGATCGATGCTCATGATTTCAATAACTGGATTATCTGGTCCAGATTCGATTGTTTACAGACAGTCGTCATATAGCTGGAATATTGGTGAGTGTGGCGATATACAACAAACAAACAAACATAGCATCGTTTACATTACTTAGGAAAAATACTACTATAGGTGAATTGGTTCACATATGTGGCTACCATCACGAAAGCCCATTTTACACCGTTGTAGTTTGTATTTTGATTCAGCCTCTAGGCTAGCCTTTATTTGAATATGGTTCCTTTCACTTTTAATTCACACGGGCCATAGCTAGACACGCACGCAGGAATATATTTAAAAGGATTAATATTTGAGGTATGTCGAGTAGTTATGAATGCTACCAACCCCTGCTTTAGACCCATCCTCTCAAACTAACACAATACAACAAGCTTATAACCCGAATATTAGGAATGAATTAACGAAACTTTTAAACATGACTCAAGAAAATATAGCATTACTTTCAACTACTTTCAATAACAGACTTAATGTTGTGTAAGAACATATATGGTTTTCCGATATGACACTTTCAATTCATCATTTTGCTTCATGATTATGGGACCATCCTATTTTTTCACCTTTTTCTTGAACCTAAGGCCCTGACGGCCATTTACATTGTACATATCTGCCAAAAGAAGAGTCAATTGCAAGATTCCGGATTATATCCTAACCATGTGCTTGTTAATCACTATCAAACAGTGATGGTACCAGGTGTTCACGAAAAGGTGAGCAAATGCAGCTCCATCGGTGGCACGTCACAAATACATGCAAAGGCAGGTAAATTTTACATCTGAAACAACACTGTAGCATGTATGGTACAAGTGAAAATAGGGAACTTACCCCATTTTTCCCCATGTCTCCCCCAGGATCGTCCCGGTTCGTTGTCGTCTCCCCCTAGCAAGACGAGCAAGTGAGCCAACAGCCGGCGTAACCGCTCTGTACTGCTTGGAGACACACCGCACGACACACGGTATGGGCAAACACCAAACCGTTTACTCGGCGGCAGTGGTCACACAACGGTTTTTGTGTTGTATGGGAGTTAGTCAATAGATGGTGTATTTGCACGTGGTTTCGGGCCAAAATATTTAAATTAACTTTTTACAGGTCACGTTCATTGCAAACAATGTCCGGTTTCAACTTTGCCAATGAATATTTTAATTTGAAAATATTACGCTTTGATACTTGATATGTGTTCATGTCTTTCTCGCATCAATGGATTTATAGCCGTTATACTGACGCCAAGCACTTGCATACCCGGCGTTTAAGGACAAAGAAAGATTTATTTGCCCGCTTGTCAAAGTAACCCCACCCAATTGTGGGAGTATGAATGTGATCAATTGATAGACTTAACTGAATACCCGTAAGTCGTGAGATTTAAATCGTATAGTCGCCAAGTGTTGGTGATTCAGACAAAATACAAACATTGTAAACAGGGTTATATGAGAAAAAAACTGAAAATCACTTTGAAATCGAAACGATATATCTGAATTGCATTCACACTTATATATTATATACACCATAAAAAATGGTTAAAAGGCAAATTATATGAAACAATGTGTGAACGTGGACTCCAAACCATGTTACTTAATTAGGGGCCCGACCATTTGGTATTCGTCGGGTGGTGACGGGGTGGGTGGGTGGGTGGGTGTTGGGGTGGGGAGCTGGGATTTTGTCTGGAAATTAAATATTTTTTATCAATTATAAGTCCAAAACCACTTATTGTTAAGATAAAAGCTATGAGCCTGAATATACATTTTGAAGAAAAACACCTTGCAACAATGACGTTTTTGTGGTCCTTTTTCTACGATCTCAAGCGTGAATAATTTTTGCCAGAATTATCTGGGACAATATTTTTGTCCGATAATACAGCTGCAGAACATTTCCACAGAACATAGCCGCAGAACACAGCTGCAGAACATATCCACAGAACATAGCCGCAGAACACAGCTGCAGAACATATTCATAGACCATAGCCGCAGAACACAGCTGCAGAACGTATTCACAGAACATAGCTGCAGAACATATTCACAGAACATAGCCGCAGAACACAGCTGCAGAACATATTCACAGAACATAGCCGCAGAACACAGCTGCAGAACATATCCACAGAACATAGCCGCAGAACACAGCTGCAGAACATATTCACAGAACATAGCCGCAGAACACAGCTGCAGAACATATCCACAGAACATAGCCGCAAAACACAGCTGCAGAACATATTCACAGAACATAGCCGCAGAACACAGCTGCAGAACATATTCATAGAACATAGCCGCAGAACACAGCTGCAGAACATTTCCACAGAACATAGCCGCAGAACACAGCTGCAGAACATATTCACAGAAAATAGCCGCAGAACACAGCTGCAGAATATATTCACAGAACATAGCCGCAGAACACAGCTGCAGAACATATCCACAGAACATAGCCGCAGAACACAGCTGCAGAACATATCCACAGAACATAGCCACAGAACAAAGCTGCAGAACATATTCACAGAACATAGCCGCAAAACACAGCTGCAGAACA